ATCCTGGGCAACTCGGGCGATCGGGCGGCAGCCTCGCCGAGCGAGGAAGACTCGTCCTCGACGCCATCCTGCGGGTTTGCGTCGGAGGCCATGTGATCGAGCCAGCGAAGCCAGCCTCCATGCTGGCCCATCCGCGCCTCGACGTGCACCTCGTCGACGGCGGCGGCCGTCACCGGCACGGCGCCGCCGGAGGGCGACGCATCGACCATGCAAACCGAGTCGTCCCATGGCCGGTCCAAATGGGCCTCCGCGAGAATGAGCACCCCAGCCATTGCCCCGAGCTCGTTGCGAGCAGAGCTCCAGAGCTCCACAGGGCCACGACCGCGGAACTCCTGGATGAAAACGTAAAGTGCGGAGAAGATGGCCACCGCGGGACCTGCTGGGAGGACGAGCCACGTCGCGAGGGAGACGGCGCACTCGACCTCCGAAACGTCGGCCACGGCGCGCTCGGCGAGAGCAGGGAGGACTTCGTAGCATAGCCAGACCTGCTCGTCCGAGCCACGGACTACGATTTTCGAAACGTGGTGCTCGGAATCGGGTGGCGCGCCCATGAATAAGCCCAGCGCCTCGATGCGCTCCCCGCGCTGCTCCTTGTGCACAATGAAGCCAAGGTCGCGGAGCGCCCCGGCTGCCTGGACGGCGGTATTGAATTTGGGATGCCCACCGCCAGGAGGGCGCATGTCCAAGACGCCGAAATCGTCGATGCAGCCCCGAGCTCCCACGGGGAGGTCGTCGGAGACACCCTGGACCTGCGCGCTGTGTACGAGACGGCGTTCTCGAGCAAAAGCTCCGCCTACAGAATCCGGCACGTCTTCCAGGGCTGTCTGCGCGAAGAAGACTGCCCAGCTGAACCCCGTGACCAAACAGGTTCGTGCACAAGAACATGGAGTTGTCGCGCTCGAAATCTGGCCGGAAGCCGCACGTCGCGGCGCGGTCGTAGAGTTCGCTGACGGCGATGCCCTGCGAGCAGAAGAATTGCTGCATCTTTGGGGGCGTGCGCAAACGATAATACCAGTCGGCCGCGTCCCCGCAGGCTGCCTCGGCAACAAAACCGCGGGAAGCATGGTCGGAGAAATCGAGTTGGGAGATGGCCTCCACACTCGCCAGGCCGCACCAAGGCGGCCTCTGCCAGGCAAGGTTGTTGAAACGCTCGTCGCAAACTTCCCTGAAGGTGACGTACTGGTCGCCCACGCGGCCCGGGCGCTCCAGTGGGCCGATGTCCTGCAGACGCTGTTGGAGGACGGCGGGGTCGCCGGAGCGCTCCAAGACAGGCCCTGCGTGGGCCTGCACCTTGCGACCGGGGCGCGAGCCGGAGGCGCGAGGGGAGCATGGGGGCCGGCGTCGCCGTGGAGGTTTTGGACCACCGTGAAGATGTCGCCGAAAACGCGCGCCCTGGCAGTAGTGGCGACCATGCTGGCCCACCACGTGCAGAGCGCAAGCCAAAGCCGATCCCGTTTGCCGCGGAGACATTTGGTCGGCACAAAAGGTCGGGCGTCGGCCAGCTCCCAAAGAGCGTTAACGCTCAGTCCCGGCCCGCATCATGGAGCCCTCCAGGTCGCCGAGGATCCCCGCGCAACGCGGTGGCACCTCGCGCAGGTCGACGCGCCGAGGCCCCCGGAGCTGGCAGCGAGAGGTGGCCCGAGGGACATGCCCGGCACAGGGCGTCGCCCTCGCGGAGCGGGCGCCGTTCCGCGCCTCTGCCGGCATAGGCCCTCGAGCGGGGGCGAGCGTGCAGAAGCTGCGCACGCGCAGCCTCCCCGCGCGGTCGGCCTCCGGGAGGCGGTCGGCACAGCCACCGCTCCAGGATGGCAAGGGGTGCCGGTTGGCAGGCCCTCGCCGCGGAAGACGCCGCCGGTCGTGGCAAGACCGGGGGCCGCGGCGCCGCTCGTCGACGCGGGGCCCGAGCAGCGCCCGGAGAGGCGAGATGGTGCGGCTGGCCTTTCGGGTATAGTCAGGACCCCAGGTAAGGGGGCCCGGTCAGTGGTAGGGCCCCGTAGCCCCTAAATCGGCCAGAATCACGAAACCAGGTCTGCCGTAGCTGGTGTTTTTCGGGTGACGGCAGTTCCGGTCAGTGGAATGGAGCGGGGGGGCGCCCCCCAGTACACATCACTCAACCAGGTCCCACTAAACCCAGTTTTGCCAACGCCCGAACCTTGCGCACCGCGTCGAGGGAAGCCAAGCCGGCGCCGCCACCACAAGGTTCGGGAAGTATGCGGAAGGCCTCGTCGCGATCCCCGGGGCCGGAGGCCGCCGTTGACCGCAGCGCATGGAGGCCTGCGGAGGCTTGCCTCGCGCGTCTGGCCCCGCAGCTGCGCCCCGGAAGTCGCGCGGCACCCGAGGGCGCGAGAGAAATGCCTCCCCTGAGCCGGTCGTGGCAACGAGGCGACGCACGAGGGAGACGAAACTCGGCCCCACCCGGAGCCCTCGACTGTTGAGGGTGTCCGTCTGGGAGGCGCCGTGGTCCTGTCGAGCCTTCGCCCACAGCGCGTCCCCTTTGCTTGCTCGCGCGAGAATCTCGCTCTCCGCATCCCTGACCAGCTCGCGCCTGACGTGGCTGGCCCTGGTGCTGATCCGCGGGACCTCGGACTTCCAGTAGCCCCGGTTCGTCTTCGGCTTGAGCCAGTCCGACTTGCAGCGACATTGCTAGAAGCCTACGGTGGGGGCGTTCGTTAAGGAATGTGCCCTGGAGGCTTCAGTCCCTGGAGAATTCCTTATCCAATAAGGGCGGTGGTGATACCCATGGCCACTCCACGATTGGAGTTCCGCGGGCTTCCAGACCCTCGATTCCTTCCGGAAGCCGCGGAGCACTTGCGTCCATTGGTGGGCTGTGGAACGCCCAGCCTTCTCGTAGCTCCACCGCCACTTTGCGGCACAACCCCCGAGTCCACGACGGCCGAACCGAGCCTCGTGTAGCAGGGGCCCAGGTCGAACATCTCTCCTCGACGAGGCGCCGTGCCGCCGACACCTGTTCCTTCAGGGTGTCCATGTCCTCCTGGGGGCCGGAGATGGCTGGTGACGCCAACGAACTCCTTGGCCGATCGACGAGCACTTTCGGCGCAACGCTCGACTGCCGCCTCCGCGACTCCATCGGCCAAGTGCGCCTGCGAGCGCGCGAGGGCCTCCGGCGCATCGGTCAGCTTCTGCACGTCGAGCCCGGGGCCGCGGCAGGGTGAACACCCACGCCCCCCGCAGAAATGGTGGGCTCGGGAGGCGTACCATCCAAGAAGGCAGGCGCAGATGAACTCGAAGACGGTGCTTCTGACGGAGCGGTGCCCCACACTCGCTGCAGTTCGTGGGTGATTGCACCCACGGAGAGGACCGTGACGAAGATGCAAACCCAGGCTACGACGATCACGGAGATCACCTCCAAGACGCAGAACCTTGAGCCGAAACGCTCGCCGAAGTCGCTGAGGTGCTCCTGCAACGTCGCGTAAGTCGCGCTGGCCTCGAAGAAGAAATCGTTCACAGCGTGCGCTACCATCATCGCCTGGCTGGTCACCAAGGACATGAAGGTGGTCAGGCCAGGCCGAGCCATGTAGCCAGCTTGTACATCACCACCAAGACGCCCACGACGAATACCAACCTGTACCATGCACCACAAAGCCAGCAGGCGCCGCTTACGGCCAAAGCGGGGATGGAGAACGCCATTCGCAAAGCTCGCTTCCCACGAGCGGCACCTCGTTCCTGCACCCACCCGAGAATGGCAGGTCCTGTCACGCCCTCGGCCTTGAGCGCCGGAGAACGCTACTTCGCCGCAGCTTCCCGGATAGCTCTCTGAGAGCTAAGAGCGTGTCAGATTAGAAGCCGGCAGCGCAGGGTAGGCCAGCTCCTCTCCAAGGCTCCCGGGCAGGCACCCGGGTGCAGGCCCCCCTTGGAGCATCTTGCTTGAGGCTGCAGCGTGTCCCGGCAAGCGTTTTCCTACACGTTCCCAATACGCGTGCCTCAAGCCTTTCCGCAGGTGCTTCGCAGCTCCCTCGAAGCTCATTCGAAGCTCGTTTTTAGAAGCTTGCAATTTCCCCAGTCATGCTTTCCAGCGCCCTTGCCAGCGCCCCCCAGAAGCGTTTTACGCGCTTTGGACTGCGTCGCTATCCGGGTTTTGGACTCCACAAGTATTACTGCGGCGGAAGGTGCGGGACACGTGCAGTATGTGATTCCGGCCTGCTTGGACGTCGTGCGCCCCTGCTTGCTGGTGATCTTCACGCTCGTAACCGTCGAGTTCGGACGTATGCACGTCCACACCCGGGTGATGTCAGCGTCTTCGATGAGGAGGACTTTTTCGCCGTGCGCCGGGCCCAGACGTGGATATCCCTTCTCCCATTTCTTGGGCATCAGGTCCTTCCAGAAGCCGAGGTAGTAGGCGTCCGTGTCGCAGCAGAAGATCTCCTGCGGACCCGCGGGGCAATGGTCCAGCCAGCAGGCTGGCCGAGGCAAGCAATCCCGAATATCAAGATAAGGGTGAGCAACTCCACGCAGTAGCAGAGGAGCAAGGAGACAAAGGCCAGATCTGAGACCAAGCAACAGCCTGTGAGGAGAATATTGTTTGCAAGACGGGAGGCCCTGATGACCCAGCCGAGAGATTCGAACTGGAACGCTTGAGCCAGAAAAGTTCCGGCGGAACAACCGGTGAACCGCCCATTCCGACGGCACTGACTCCCCCCCGAACCCCGCACCCGCACATTAGCCACTACAAAAGACAATCGCGCGGATACAGATTACGCCTCCATACATCTGTATCCTCTCCCGCCCTCCCTCCTCCCTATCTCGTCCTCCTTGGCCTGGCTGTCTCAGGAGGGAACAAAAACACACAGACACAATTAATCGTCGAATCCCAGGAAGACATGGGAAAATATGGGAAGTGGGGGGGGGGGGGGGGGAGACACGAGCCCAGCAAACATGGGAAAAGTATGGGGTATCCTGTTGTTTGTGTGCGTATTTATTTGTGTGTCCCAGGGCCCCTTCACTGTCGTCCTTCTGGCAGCGGGGCCCGCCCGCATGCCGAGGAACTCGCGCGGCGACTCTGGCCTCATCGCCGAGGCCCTGGAGGCGCTGGGCAGCACCCCGCTGCTCCGCCACCAGTACGTGGACGAGAAGGCCCCTCCATCCTCTTCCCCCAGGAGGGACACAGACACACAGACGCAATTCATCGTCGACCCTCAGGGAAATATGGGAAAACATGGGAAGCGGGGGGGAAGACGCAAACCCAGAAACTATGGGGAAGTATGGGGAATCCTGTTAGTTGTATCTATTTATGTGTGTGTGCCCCTGGGCCCCTTCATCCGCGTCCTTCACCCCCGCCTCCGTCCTCCTCCTTCTCTTTCCCCTCTGCCCCCCAGCGGGTCCTCTTCATGCCCCGCGCAGGGGGCCAGTTTTGCCTGTGTCGAGGCTGCCAGTTGGGCCGCTTCAGCTGACTTGAGCTGGTCCCCAGCATTTCTTGGTCTTGGTCTTGTTCCTCCTCCCCAGCGAGGTATGTGCATGGCGAGTTATGGGCGAGGGAGGGTAATGCCGCGAAGGCTCGGGTGTAGGAGGGACAAGGGTGAGGGGGGGGGCGGGGCAGGTAAAGGGAATGGATGGGGGGAGGGACGGGATGGCGAGTTCTGTCTAAAGGATGGTGTTGCAAGGTCGACACCTTCTCAAATATGATCTGGCACGCTCTTCTGATCGCTTCCGAACATGTGCTTGGGCACCCCGTGGGGTGGAGGGGGAAACGGGCAAGAGGCCGACGTGGACGGAGTTTTACACTTATACCATATGAATACTACCCTCCTCTTTCCCGTGACACTGTCCGGAGAGTGTCTCGTCCTTTCCGCGTAGTTGTTTTTACACACGATTTCAAGATGTGGTTGTCCCATGTGTTTTTTCAATGCGGTCTTTCTTGGTTCTTCCAACATGGCCTTCCCGCTGCAGCGCCGCCCTCATTTCCGCGCTTTTGTCATTCAAAATCGTGCTCCCGCTGCAGCGCTGATCTCGTTCCCGCGCTTCTGGACGGCACTTGGCATTCGAAAGAGCCCACATCGGGAAGGCACGATTGCGGAGGACATGAAGCCGGCATTCGGGGCAGGCCCTGTCCTCTCGTAGACGGGCCCCTTACCCTCCAAGTCATCCGGTGCCATGCAGCGGCATGCAATGCGGTGTTGTGTTCTGCACCGCTGTTCGATGCCATGCTTTGCGTTGCTATGTTTTGTGATGCGATGCTTCACTGCACAATACCACGCCATGCTATGACATGCTACCCGTGCTCTTCTACGCCATGCTGTGACATCCGTCGCTTACCCTCTTGGGATCATTGCCCTGCTCGGCATCCGACTGCGAACAGATAGGGTACCTACGCCATAGTAAGGGATGGAAGGGAGCGGTAGGACGGCAGATGTGACGCTAGCGCACATGGCTTGCCTGTCACCCCTCCCCCCCCATGCCTGCCCCAATACAGCCCCAGAGGCCCCCAAGACGGCCCCACATCGCCCCAAGATGGCCCCAAGCAGGGCCAAGAGCGCCTTCAGACTGCCCAAGAGGCCAGAAGAGGACCCCGAGAAGCAGTCAGAGGCCCCGAAGAGTGGCCCGCCAGAGATCACCAAAAAAGGGCCACCTTGCCTCCACTCCTCCTCCCTCCCTCCTCCCTCCCTCTCCTCCCTGATCCGAGTTACCGGGCGGCGCGGCGCCTTGCGGTTAACGCGCGCCGCGGGGCGCCCTTCGCGCGAGGACGGCTCCTCCTCCTCCTCCTCCTCCTCCTCCTCCTCCTCCTCTTCCTCCTCCTCCTCCTCCTCCTCCTCCTCCCTCCCTCCTCCCTCCCTCTTCCCCCCCCCGAGATGAACTTCCTCCCCCTGCTCCAGGTCCCCGGCGGTGTGGCGGCCGTGGCGCAGCAGTGGGCGCAACGCGTGGCGCAGCAGGCGCCCCCCCCCCACGCAGACGGACCCCCCCCCCCCTGGCGGAGGCGGACGAGAGGGAGAAGCAGGGGAGGGCGAGAGGAGGGACGAGAAGGAGGCGGAGGGGCGGGAAGAAGAACCGAGAGATGAGGAGGAGGAGGAGGAGGAGGAGGAGGAGGAGGAGGAGGAGGATGAGGAGGAGGAGGAGGAGGAGGAGGAGGAGGAGGAGGAGGACCAGAGTACATGAGCCCAGCCCGGCCCAGAATGAGGGAACGCGTCCACTTGAGTGGGCGCAGTGCTTGGCTTTGCTTGGCATTGCTTGGCGAGGTCGCAAGGAGCCAAGAACAATGAACCAAGGGTCCAAGACCAAGGAGCCAAGATCAAGGAACCGAGAAACCAAGGAACCGAGACAAAGAAACCAAGACCACGGAAACGAGAAACCAAAGAGTCCGGAGAAGGCAGCAGGGAACCAAGACGAAGGAACCAAGCAGCCACAGCCAATGAACGCCACCGTAAAGAAACAAGGGCAAGGAGCACCGAGGAGCGCCTTGTTGGAAGGAAACAATGCCGAGAAACCTCGAGGAACCCCGGAGCGACCGGGTCCCGCACCCACCTTCGAGAATATGCATCAGCGATGCTGCAACACCACCTCACGTCCCAAGTCCCCTTCGCACGCGCCCTGGCAGGTGTTCTCTCTCCTTGCAGGATGCGCCCCCTGTAAGAAGCCAGCATGGCTCGGCCTGCCATGGTGGCGAGGGTCTCGTTTTGAAGAGCAATTCCTTTGCATGTATTAGCGCCCTCTCCTCCTCCTCCTCCTCCTCGAGCATGGCATGGCAGGCATTCAGTGAAGTCAGTAGGAGCATGGCATTCAGTGAAGTCTCCTTCGACGTCTTCTCGTCGAAGAAGGACCGCCCCCTTCCCGCCGATCCGTGCAGCTGTTGCGCAACGGAACTCCAGCTGCGCTCACGGATGTCGAGGGGGCCTCCAGCGACAGCTCCATCCTTCGGGCCGGGCGAAAGGGGGGGATTGGGAAAGGGGGGGCTACGAAATTTGCTGCATGCAGCTGGTTTCGGCCTCACCGAGGGGCCCATTCCTCGATACATGGCCGCCTCCGGCGCCGGGAGGCGCCGGGAAAATCAGCTGCGTGAGCTGATTCTCACCCCCCCCCTTTGCTATCCCCCCCTTTCGCCCGACCCGAATCATGGAAGAGAGACGTCCTGGACAAGTGCAGTGCTGCATGCACGGAGGCCTCGGTTCTGTAAGTGGGCGAGGTCTCCAGCGAGGGCCCCATGGCGAAACCAAACAGACAGTCGTCCATCCTTCCCGACAGTATACTCCAAAGCAACTGCGCGCGGCACTGAGGCGCGACCCCCCCTGTTGAAAACGACCACTGCTCGATCTTTAGATACGTTGCAAGGCTTCGAGACGATGCTTGCGGTGCAAAAGTGAGAGCCCCACATTGACAAGGAACCGCCCTCCGTGAAGCCATTGCGCCATGTTGAGACAAATGTGCTTGGCGCTAAGGCGGGAACACCATTCTGAACATGGCCCCCTTCCACACTTGCAGCTGCAGCAGACATGCATGACGAATGTGCGCGGCGCTCAGGCGAAACCAGCATGTTGCAAGCTCCCCCCATCCCTCCCTGAAGTTGCTGCAAATTTGTAAGGCGAATGTGTGTGGTCGTATGGCGAGCGCCACATGTTGAACACGACCCCCTGTCCATTTCAGAAGACGTTGCGATGTAATGCAAAAGAGTCCGGGCGCCGCGAAGGCCAGAGCCACATATCCAGTCTTAGCACGTTGAATGAGTGCCCGCTGCGCTAAGGCAAAGGCCACAATTTTGAAAGCCCACCCCCTCCATCCACCATTGCACACATGTAAGACGAGTGTGCGCGGCGTGGAAAAGGCGAGAGCCACAAGTTGAAAGCCAACCCCCCTTCCATCCTTGAAACCACTGCAATGTTCTAGGGCGAGTGCTTGGTGCTAAGGCGGTCGCCACATTAAATAATAGAAGGGCCCCCCACCTTCGAAACTGTTGCAACTGTTTCAGACGAGTATGCGCGGCGCTGAAAGGCGAGAGCCGCAATATGACCGCCATCTCCCCCGCATCTTCGAAACTGCTGCAATGTCTTAAGGCGAGTGCGCTTGGTGCTGATGCGATAACCGCACTGTGCAAACGACCCCAATACATCTTGGAATCCGCTCCAAAGTTCAAGCTTCAGGATCATACGTGGTGACAAGGTTTCGGGCAGGACGCTCAGCACGCTCTATCGACACGTGTTGGGTTGCGACAGGGATGCCATATTCATCTAGTGGCCGTCAGCCCATTCCGTCACCGCGCCTGGGTTGTAGGTCAGGGCGCTTCTCGGATGCTTGTATGGATCTCCTGGGATGCCTCTCGGAAGCCTCTTGGAGGCGGTTTGGGAGTGTCTTTGGGGCCCTTCGGGGCCTCTCGGGGCCTGATTTGAGCATCTTGGGATTCTTCTGGAGCTTCTGGGTGGTTCTGGGATGGGGGCCTGCTGGCGGTCTCGGAGGCCGTCTTGGGCTGGAGGGCTCGAAATGTCGGTTCGTGTTCCCCTTTTGGGGCATCCCTCCGGCCCTTTTTGATGCCCTTTTGGGGCCTTCCTGGCCCGTCATGGGGGCCTCTTGGAATGTCTTGGGGTCCTCTTGGTTGTGGGCCTCTTGGGCCGTTTCGAGGCGGTCTTCGGGGTCTCTTGTGCATCTTGGGTCTTGGGGTGTCGAGAAAGCTCGAAAAGGCGAGAACGCTTCAACCACCACATGATATCAATTAATTTGCCCTATCGGGTCTCTTTTTGGATACACGTTCGGAACCCTCTTGGGGCGTCTTGGGATGGTCTTGGGCAGTCTGGGGGGGCATCTTGTGCGTCTTGGAGCGGTCTGTACGCGAGCTGGGACCCTCTTGGACCGTCCTTGGGGCCCTCTTGGCCCGTCTTGGCGCCCTCTTGGCTCTGAACAAGCTTCGCGAGAACACGCGACACGCACAGAAAAATTCGGAAAGTGCGAGTCTGGGCCCTTACGTACGCAATCTTCAGAATGGGGACGGAGGGCTCAAGGGACCCGCGGACATTCCCACTCGTGCCTCAGGGCATGGTGGCGGATGGGGGAAAAAGAGTGGAGAGAGAGAGAGAGAGAGAGAGGTAGGGGGAGGGGGAGGTAAAGGGGAGGAGCAGGAGGAGGATGAGGAGGAGATTCACTGGCCCCCCTCATACGGTACTCTCGTCGCGCCTCGTCCAGTCTCTCTTCGTATCTGTGTCTAGCTTGCTCCATGCTTCCCCTCCTTCTTGCTCCCCTCCTCTCCTCCTCCTCTGGCAGACTTGCCATCCATCCCCTGCTGGGCAGAGTCTTCCGCACTGAAAGCCATGGTATGTCCTCGCCCACCCTCCCCCCCCTGTGGTACTCCCCTCCCCTCGCCGTCCCTCATCGTTTCTCCGTACTGTCCTCCTGGTGTGCTATACTTGCACCTGCTAACCCTCCCCTACCGCCCCCTTCCTCTGCTCCTTCGCAAGCCTTCCACGGGTGTGCGCCCGAACGCCCTTCCAGTGAAGGGCTGACTCCAGAGTCTCTTCATTATCCTAAGCCGCTTGGAGCGAACAGTTCTTGTGCCCCAGCGCCTCACTTTGCTTTTGGGCAGAAGAACTGATGTGGCAGCTGACGCGAGAGTGCCCTAAGAGGGCCTCCAGGGGACCAAACGGGCCCCAAGATCCCCCAAGATCCCCCAACAGAGTTCCAAGAGGGCGCCAAGAGGACACCGAGAGAGCTGCACACCAGCGGAAGTTCTGGCTTCAGCAGCACCGCCCCGCCGCCGTCAGCACCAGCAGGATCACCAGCAGCAACCAGCAGCAGCAACCAGCAACAACACCGGCATCAGCAGCAGCACTAGCATCAGCACCAGCAGCAGGAGCATCAAGACCAGCAACATACCAGCAATAGCACCATCTGTATTGGCAGCAACACCTTCAGGGGCACCAACAGCACCACGACCAGCAGCAACATCAGCAGTACCATCACCGGCAAGAGCGGCAAACGCAGCAACAGAATCAGCACAATCACCATCATTCGCGGCAGCAGCATCACCAGCAGCAGCACCACTAGCAGCAGCACCAGCAGCAGCACACCATCAGCAGCACCATCATCACCAGCAGCATCAACCAGGAGCAGCACCACTAGCAGCAGCACCAGCAGCAGCACCAGCAGCGACATCAGCAGAACCATCAGCACCAGCAGTAGCATCGCAAGCAGGACCAGGAGCAGCACCAGCAGCACGACCACCAGCAGCAGCGACGGCAGCAACATCACCAACAACAGCGACGGGAACAGTAGCACCAGCAGCGCAGCACCACCACCCGACCACCAGTAGCAGCAACGGCAGCAGCACCAGGATCACCACGACCAGCAGCAGTAGCAAAGGCAGAACCAGCAGCAGCAGCACCACCACCACCAACACCAGCACCAGCAGCAGCAGCAGCAGTGCTCGTGGCGGTACCAGCGTACAGGGCCTTGCACTTGAACTCGGTGGGCGGCACGGGCCGCAGCTGTCGCGTATGCTGCAGCAGGTTGCTGGCCTCACCCGGCACCAGGGCCATCTCCGTGGCACGGGGTGCGCGCGGTCGCCGCTGCGCGATTGGATGCAGCGAATTGCCGTCCTTTGGGGGCGAGCCACTGCGGTACTCGTCTCCTGTGCTACCGCACCACTGGCCCAATTGTGACCCAGTGGTGCGCATATATTTGTCCGCGCAGATGTGTCTAAAACCAGCAAAGCAGCAGTAACACCAGCAACAACAACACCAGCCACTGCTCCTCTGAGTCCCCGTCCTAGCTCTCCGGCTTCTCCAGGCTCTGTTTCGCGATGTATGTCTCTTTCTCTATGCACACGTCGGCTCTCAAGGTCATCGTTTCTGGATGGGACGGTGAAGCTGTGCGAAGCGTCAAGAAATGTAAGCGGGCTATTTTGAAGAGTCGTGCCACGCGCACCGACCAGACCACGGTGCGCGTTTATGACGGA